ACTCGATATATTCTCCATCAATAAAATGCAACAAAAAACACTCTTCTTTAACAAAATCTGAAATCCTGAGCCTCCCGAACGTGAACAATTTTCTTTCTCTTCTTCATCATTGCTTTAGCATTCTGTGCTTACAACTTCAATATTTTCGGCTTGTAAACCAACTAATTCAACATCAGAAATTTATCAAACACCAGTTATAGTTATGTCAACCCTCAAAAGAAGCAATCACCCCAAACGACGCTCCTCAGCCGATCATCACAATCCCACAACATCAAATTCACACTGACCATCAACCTCACCAAAATCATTTCACGTCGCCGTCCACTCATCTTAAATGTCTCTAGTATTGTCAAACCGCATACTATCAAACATTTAAGATGATTGCTTTCGTTGGCTACAACATGCCCTTAGAAAATGCTTTTGATTTCAAGTTTGCAGTTGGTCCACAGAGATAACTGCATTGTTGGCACTCTTTTTTTTTATATTTTTGTTAGTAAGCTAAAACAAAGGTCGAATAATAATTCTGAAGTTTGAGCGTCAAGCTGTCAGTTGTTGCGATCTAATATCTTCAATAGTTTTAAATTCATTATCATTGTTTTAATTGATCTTTGTTGTTTTTTTAAATGAGTAATTTGAACGTTTTGTACACCATAGGTTGAAACAAAATAGTTGTAGATTTACGACTGGAAGTGTTTTGTAATGTTATCCATATTCTTCACGTTAGGTAGTGATGATCTTAGTAGATAAAAATGCGCGTTAGTTTCCTCCCACTGAGTTACGGTTTTTGGAAGTTTTAATCATTGGAGAGGTATTACTGTATAGGTGTTGTTCATTGCTGCTGTTGGCGACGCCGCTGGATTTGTTTTCGGCGGCAAGTTGAAATTGGTCTCATCATTGAAAGGTACTATTTGTGTTTGTTGCTGCTGATGATGACGGCACTGGAGTTTGTTCTTGTGACGGAGATAGCGAGTTGAAGTTGGCCTCATCTTGCTGTCTTGGTGCCTCGTTTGAATTTTTCAAACTTTTACATAATTTGCATGATCGTAGCTTCTTCTTTCTTTGCAACGCTTGTCACAGTAGCAAGAAAGAAATTAAATTAATATTATCAAAAATATTATTATTTAAACTGTCGATAATGTTTGGAAATGTTTTGATATAATTTTTGGTTAGCAACGTAAACTCGTATTGTTATTGTATTGAGTTGATTTTGCACAACGCCAGGAGTGGCAGCCAAGTTTGTTAAAATTTTTAAAACTGTACGGAATCTTCCCCGCGTAAACTATTGAAATTATATTTAAAAGAGATAAAAACCTGAATTCAAAATTAAATTTAATTAAAACCATTTTGACCATAATAATTTTTCGAGTTCAAGGAACTAATTTTTATATCATTAAAATTAATAAATATGAGCAATAGGCAGATAAAAACGAAAAACCAACAACTATCGTGTTTACTTAAACGATATTACCGGGCTAAATAATAATAACAATAACAATAATAATAATAACAACAACAACAACAATAATAATAATAGTAATAGTAATGGTAATAGATGGTTGAAGAGGTCTTCTCGAAGTAATGACAACATATGAACAATCAATCATAAAATTAGCAGAATATGTCAAAAATAAAAATGATTCGTTCATAAAATATGTATCAATAACTGATGAAAAAAAAATTCGTTGCAACAGGAAGCAAGAAAAATATCAGAAAAATTAAATCTAACAACAGTGACGAATGAAAAAATAGTTGTAAAGTTCAGATATATTAAAAAAAAGACAAAATCATGAATGTCAAAAGCAAACCTTTTCATGGACAACAATTCAGATTACACGATGAGAAAGGTATTGACAAGGATTTATCTATATTATGGTTAAAAAATGGATGGTTAAAAGGTGAAACAGAAAGCTTAATAATAGCTACCCAATATCAAGCGTTGAATACAAGAGGTTTTAAACACAAATTTTGAAAGAGAATGTAATAGATGCTTCATGCAGAATGTGCCATAAATCAAAAGAATGCATTGGACATATCATAGCTGGGTGCTCGGCTCTGGCACCGACTGAATATCTTAATAGACACAACATGTCAAGCTACATACATTGGAAGATGTAAAGAAGTTGGGTATACGGTAGCTGAGAAATACTATGAGCACAAACCAGAAAAATTTGTCAAAACGACAGAGATCACATTAATGTTGGATGTCACTATAATAACAGAACAATACTAGCTGGACGGCCAGATCTAGTGTATTGGTATAAAAAAACGAGAGTCTGCTCCTTGATTGAGGTTTCAGTGCCAAAAAATGGAAATGTGTTAAAAAATGAAAAATATTTGAAATATTGAGATTTAAAAATAGATATTTCAGGAATGTGGGAAACAAAATAAAAACAATACCAGTGATAATTGGTGTAATGGAAACAATGGATGATAAATTAAAAAAAAACTATAGGAAGTACCAGGAAAATCGGATGGGGCGGAAGTGCAAAAAATCGCGCTCTTAGGAACTGCCCACATACTCATAACAGTACTAAGATGAAATCCGGAAATTTCTGGATGAAATTTAGATTCATCTATCGTTCCATCTTATTGAGCTGTATGACTCGAATAACAATAATGATGATAATAATAATAATATTAATAATAATAATACTAATAATAATAATACTAATAATAATAAGAACAATCTTTTATTCGGCTATAAAACAATGTAAATGACAAAAAAATAAAAACAAATTGACAAATAGAATAAAATAAGAGTAACAAAACATAAAATATCAAATAGAGTATTTATTTATTCTACGAAGCTCTTCATTCAAAAAAATGAATACAACTAGAGTAAATTAGTTTCAAAATTTATTAAGTCACATTTCTATTGCAGAAATGATAAGACTAAATAATGTTTACAAAAGATAAATTAGATATTTTAAATAAACTTAGAGCTGAGATTTTGAATGTATTGATTTTTATTTTTAAAGTTGTCAATCAAGTTATTTTGCAAGTTACCAGAGTATTTAGATAGTTTATATTCTTTAAAATTTAGAAAGTTAGTCTTGTGACAGACTTAATTTCAGTATTTCAATTGTTTCGTCTGGTCGCAATGACTTGAATAAGCAAGATAGTGGTTGAAATTCATCTGTCTCTAGATCTGCAAAAATGAGGACTTCTAGGTAGGCACATGATTTCATTTTTTCTAGAATTATTGTTAAATGATTGTTGTGTCTTGTTGTGTACGTACCTCTTTAAGGCCAATGCTGAGCTGCAGTTGGAGAGTACATGTTTGTAAAGTTTGTTGATTGCTGCATAATGGACACTGGGCAGTAGAAGACTTTCCCCATCTGGACAGATTTGCATTTGTCGGCAGTTGCTGTATCAAACTTTTTCTGACAAATCTGTGCAGAACCTCTGGAAGGCTGGCAATGTATCGCGACCAGTGAGCAATCCGAGCCGCAGGAATATGACTACTAATTGCCTTGATTATTGTACCCAGACAGCGGAGTGAAGTCATCCGTTCAAATTCTGCACTTTGCTGTCGCAGCATTAGCGCTTTGAGCGTCGGTTTGATGTTGCTCAAATCTGGGAACTAGTTGTTATTTTTGACGTAGTTGTTGAACGATTCGGCCCACAAACACTTCAGTTTGCCACGGCCGTTTGCTTTCAGATAATTGCGTAGTTTGATCCGCGAAGATTCGGCATAGTGTTTGAGATATCAACCTGAAGAATCGGCTTGTCATCGATCGTCAGCATCGGAAGAAATTGCTCATATGCACCATTTTTTTGTTGTTGAGCATTTGTCGATTTTTAGTTTCATGCCAGTTGCGTTGTACCAAGCCTGGTTTACATCAATAAGCTTCTGTGCACTTTTAGTGTTGTTGCCGATGATTGCTGTGTCGTCAGCAAATTGCAACCATGCTCTTGTTTTAAGGCTTGAAGTTGGGCCCAATATGTAACCACATTGTTGAAACTCAGTTTTTTCTAGTTTTTTCATTAAGGGGTTGAAGCAGAGGTTGAAGAGCAATGGGGAGACGGGATTGCTTTGAAGCCCACCTCGCTTGACTGGGATGGGTGGAGTCAACTAATTGCAACCGAAAACTATGATTGATGAGATTAGGCCGTGACTAACTTCCCAAAAGGCATTTCGCAAATCCAGAAGTGTGATAATCATTGTTTTCTGGTGCCTTTCAGCGTCGTTGATCATGTAAGTTAAAAGCTGTGTGTGTTCAGTCAGGCCATCTACCTTTGGGTAGAAATCCTTTTGTATGTTTTTGTTGATCATGTTGTTTGATTTGGAAAGTTGTATAGTCTATTGTTGACGAGAGAAGAAAATATTTTGTAGAGCGTTTGCTGCAGGGTTATGGGTCTGAAGTTGGCCGGATCTCGAGCATTTCCCTTTTTGTAAATTAATATTGTGAACACCTTTTCCAGCATGAAGGGATTTTGGAAAATACCCAGCATTGTGTTAGTAGTTGATGCAAAGTTGTATGCAATATAGGGCATTTTTTGAAAGGGATAACTGAGATCTGGTCAATCGGGCAAAGTGATGATTTTGATTTGTATTTGTAGACTATTGTTGTAATCTCTTGGTGGGAAGGAGGACTGATGTTGAAGGGCGTAGCTGGCGATTCAAGTTTTTGTATCCGTTTAGGAAGCTGACGTTTTTTGCAATGATTTGAGTTGTTTAGTATATTTGTGAAGCATTTGTAACATTCGTCGACGTTGAAAAGTGATCTCAAGTTTTCTGTTGTGGCGAATATTATTTTGCACGACCACTAAAATTGCTGTCCAAGCTGCATCGTGATGTCTGATTTTTTCTGCACATTTAAACAGCTTCATCGACAATAGTTTTGAAGGTAGAGTTTTGCTTATGTTAATGATTTGATTCTCGAAGTAGTGGTTATTGTTTTTTTAGATGTTTAAATTTTTTTTAGATCCTTTACGTTTTTGTTTGTGATTTTGTTTTAGTCAGGGTTCGCTTTTACAGAGCCGTAATTTTGAGCAAACTAATTGTATATCATTTTTTGAAATGTAATTGTGAATTTGTCTATGTTGTTGAGACTTGGTGGTAGTTTGTATTGTAGCAAAAAGAAGACATTGGCTTTGGACCATTGGGCTGGCGTTCTTGGCAATTTGATGCCGGGGATAACTGATTCTGTTGCTTCATCAGTCGACGACGACGATGACCGGTAGTTTGGAGTAGAAATTATTTCCTGGCGATGTTGGTTGTGATGCGGTGTCACTGTTGTGGTCCGTTGAGTCTTGGAGGGTATATTTTCTAGCAAATTTGTACATAGTTTCTGAGATTGTATCTAATTGTTTAGACCATTAGGATATTTGAGATGATGATATTACCTCTGTCACCAATTTGACCAGGCAACCCTGACTCTGAAGCGACACCCATGATTCCAGAAGGCAGTTACTCGGTTATCTTCTAAGCGCTTTAACGACTGATTTGTTGTGTCTGCATCTGAACGCAAGTTATCCACCAGTTTGTAGTCTATTGACGTTTTCCGCCAAAAACAGCAGCAAATCTCTGCATTTTAGCTTGTTTTAAAGTAATTACGAAGCTTTAGTCTTATTCTCAACACCTTGTCTCTGAGCAAAACAATGTTGTGACCTCCGACCTTCAATGGTAGCCTTAGCACCATCGATATACAGCCGCTAATTGGCATCGTTAGCTTTTTTCTAGCAGCTTCTGTCACAAATTATTTGTGATCACGTTAGTGAAAAATTGTAACTACGTGATTCAAAGTTCATCTGAGTGGAAACATTTAGATCAGTTGTGATATTTAACAGTCTTGTTAATTTTGGAACCATTTCTTTCTTGGCTTTTGAATCTTTTAGTTCGAGTCGTATATTTTACCTAGGTATATGTATCCGGAGCCAAATTCAATGGCTGGAATTGGTATGTCGTCTATTGTCAACCTAGGTAAAAATTGATCATATGAGCCATCTTTTGTCTACTCGCATTTGCATATCTAACCATCTACATCAGGCTAAATTCAAATCGATCAGTTTTTGAGCCCTTTCCGAATTACTTGCTATTATTGCTGTATCATCTGCGAACTGTAACCACGATCTAGCTTTAAAATTTGACGTTGGTCTCCACAAGTAGCCGCATTGTTTAAATTCCTGGATTTCCAAGATTTTCATTAAAGGATTAAAACAGATGTTAAACAATAACGGCGAACACGGATCCCCATGTACCCCTTTCTAACCGGTAACAATAGTGTGAGTTGATCGTTGATTGATATTGTATAGTTGGAGTAAATTGATAAAATTAAATCATGAAATAATTGAGGAATTTAAGAGATAATGGCTCACTTCACTGAACGCATTCCGAATTATTGTGTGTTGATGTTTTTTTTGAATTTTTCATCAAGTGTGTTAGCATCTGATTTTGTTTAGCCAGATCAAAATACCTTCTAAATGTCTGTACTGATAGAGGAAATTATTTTTTAGGAGGAATTTGTGAAAACGATTCTTTATTAGAGTAGAAAATATTTTGTATAGTATGGGCTGCAGAGTTATGGAGCGACAGTTCGCCCGATCGTTCGTATCAACTTTTTTATAAATAAAGATTGTTAAAGCTTTTCTCCAGCATATCGGAATAGTTGCAGAATTCCAACATCTAACTACTATCAATTTGTGAAAATATGTGCGGAGAATTGGACATCCCTTCAGTGCAATCACCAAAATCTGCTCAGGCGGACAAGGTGTGGCCTTGGCTTTGCACTTTCGTATGATCGCAGCGACTTCTTTGTAGGTCAGTTTTTCAATGTCTCCTCTAAATGACGGTTCCAGTAGGAGAGGAATCCAGTCTGGAAATAGAATAAGGATCTCGCGTCAGCCATCAACCCATTGAGGAAAAATTTTTTTCGTTGGCCACATTGAACTGAGAAGATACATTTGTAGATGATGAAAACGATGATCTGCATGCCTTCCAAAAATTGTCGTTGAATTGATTTGTAGCTTTTGCGGGGTACGTTTTCCTTGACGATTTTAATTTCAGCCTATTTCGTAATAATTTACTCAGCTTTGAGATGTTGTTGTTAAAAACATTTTAGCAGTTTTGTTTTAGTTCCTTTTTTAACTGTTTGATTGAGCAGTCGATTTTCAAATTTGCTTTAGTTTTTACAAAGCCATAAGTTTTTTGAAGTAGGAGAAAATTATTTGCTAATCATCAACGACGACTTCAAGTAATGATAACATACTTTTCTAGTTCGGTTAGGCACAATTTTCGCTCATCCGGTTAATTCTTTTTTTGTTTATTCCGTCAAACGTGTCGTTTAGTTTTGGTCTGAAATTTTAGATTGCTGGTCGATCTTGTCGTTTAGTCCCTGTTCGATCTGGTTTAGTCTTTTTTGCCTGCTTATCGAATCTTTCTATTAAAATCGGTTTTTCATTCGGTTTCAGTTCTTCTATAGAACCCGGAAAGTCGAACTCATCTGGTTTGTGATTTTCATTTATTAGAGCGTCCCAAAACTGCCTTCGTACCTTTCGAGTCGAGGTTTCGTTGTTGTACTTTCTTTCTCAGATAACCTGTATTGAGTTCATCTAGTGCCGGCATTTTTGATTACAGAAAATTTTGTCCATCAAAAATTTTACTTCTGACACCAATGTTGAAATCTTTGACGCTTGCAACTACTAACACGAATGTTATAAATTCAAAGATCTTTATATTTCCAACACCAGTGCTGTAGCTTCCAACGATTGTCAATTTCCGATAATTAAACACAACTGCTTCAAACGCAAATTTGGCTGAACGTTTATTCAAATACCAACAGTAATAGAAACAATAAACTAATCTAAATAACTACATAAATCACAATTACAACTTACAAGCGAAGATAAAAAATATAACAACATAACAATAATTAATTATTTAGCGTAATTCCATCGTTCTCACGGTTATAACAGTATCAAACTGTTCAACATGAAAGAATCACTGACCATCTCGCACATCAAGTATGCAGCTCCTTCCTTGTTTGGCTTTGTTACACAACAACTTAAAAACTTTCATCAAAAAATTAATTTGCTTCAACTAACTACTTTTAACATATCTTACTGTTACTCAAATATTCTACAAACTTGATTCCAGATTATTCAAGAAAATATAAACTAATGTAAACAACGTCAATTATTTTCTTCTACCGCAAATCAAAACTACCACCCACTACTTTCGTCAACGTAAACCTATTTATCTAATTACCACACAATCAACCTGTCAACATTCATTCCAAAGCACATAAATATATAAATAACTAATCCGTCTTTTGGTTAATCTTATTTCAATTGACCATATTATCATTTATTTATTTATTTCTTCATCTTATCAGTTTTTTAACATAATTAATATTTTATATATGTAACATATTTTATTGCATGTTGTAACCAAAGCCGGTTGGAGTCGGAAATTTTGGCGGAGTCGGAAATTTTTGAGGGGCCGGAGTCGGGGTCGGATTTTTCCATCCGACTTCGACTACAAAAATTGTTATTAATTTTTTAAAAAATTAATTTTTTTTTCTGAAATATTTTTCAAGATCCTGTTTTTTAGAAAATAAAAATAAATAAATATAAAATACATTTTTACATTTTTATACGACTTTGCAATAATTGCAGAGAAAGGGTGGAATTTAAAGATTCATAATTTTTCAAGTAGTCATTAAAGTCAAAGTGGAGATCCGCCATAGGTAATAATGCGTTAGGTATTTAGAACATTACCGCCTTAAAAACCAGACACTTTAAACTATTTTCCATATTAAAAACTCATTATGATGATACGAAAAATTTATTTGTTTATCGATAATTATTGAATCAACAATTATAAAACTAAAACAAAGCTTATAAACTAACCGACAAATTTGTAATGATCCATATCATCAGTATAAGGCATAATTTGACCGCCATCTTTGTAGCTGATTTTATTTATTGTAACACTTTTCACACACTTCTTTGTCAGTAAAATGATAAAAATTCCAATTATTTGCTTTGAATACATTTTTAAGAAGTTGGTGAACGTACTAAAATTTTAAATCGCTAAAATTTTTAAAACATTTCTAGTAATCCGTTCAAAAATAGAAAATATATTTGTGGCATAATTTAATAAAATACGAGAATTTGATTAACACAAGAATAATCGATGTATCTTAGTTGATTGATCATCACCTTCACTATACGAAAGAAAGAAATTGAAGCAGTCTGTTAAATCGAAAATGTCTTACCCATATAACGTGCAACTCGTGAGCAGAAATATAGGAATATAAAAACTGAGCATGCACGCACATAGTAAATGCACTTCTATCCACATTGTTTAAAAATCTATTTCTCCAGTAACATTTGCGCCTCTCTCTCACTTATTGTTATCTTTTTTATAAGCAATGATCCAACCTCTATTGATTATGAACGCATTTATACATTTTTATTATTTAGCTTTAAAAGTTATTAGCAATTCAAATATTATTTTAAAACTTTTATAAATTGAATTATAATTATTAGAATACACCATTCTATTAATAATTAATCTAAGCTAAATTAAAATTAAAAAATCATAACTTCTACCAAATATTTATGACAGATAAAGGCATGGGACAAAACTAAATTTCCATTTTGAAACATGTTTAATCAGTTGTCTGGGGTATTTTATTAAGATTAAAACTCTAGTGAGTGAACCAAAATATTAGAAATGTTGAAACATCAATTAAATTTTTGTTACTGTTACTTGATCTTTTAGTTTTCTATTTCAAAATGAAAAATGTTTATTTTTATTATTTTAACTTAAGGAATTGAATATTTTGCTATACTGCAGTCTTGAAATTTGCTAAAAATACAGTTTTTAGTAAGAATTTAAAACGCAAAGCAAAAAGGTAATAATATAATTAAATCAATAAAACCCTTGAGACAGTAGTGTGTGTGTGTGTGTGTGTGTGTGTGTGTGTGTGTGCGTGTGTGTGTGTGTGTGTGTGTGTGTGTGAAGTTTATGTTTAAAGGTATATAAAAATCTGACCGAGTAGAAAAAAATTAAAATTCTGTTTGGCACCTTCAGCTGTGTTGAGCACTCCTCAAATTTGTATGAAATGTATTCCAAAGCTGATACGAAGACGATGTTCTCCAGAATATGCGTTACCATCTAGAATTGTTATCATCTACAAAATAAAAGTAATCGAAACGACAACAGTTTCTAAAAAGTTATTTGTTCATCATTGTTTTCGATAAAACTTTAACTCGAGTTTTATTATCTCGTTTACAAAAATTGCCACTAAAGTCGCCGCTACGGTTACTAGAAATGGACTTTTTCAAACTTTGTTCAACTTAAGATGCACACCTATACTAATGTTGTGATCAAATTGTTTTGCAATGTACTAAGAAAAATGTGCGGTTCAATGATGATTTTAAAAAACTTTTGACATTTTTAATGGTTTTTTATTATATTCTTCGCTATGCTTCACAAACACGCTTTTGGTTCAGGAATAGAAAGCATTTGTCCACAGTGGTTTTTAAAATCTGATACTCCTAGAACTAGTGTCAAAAAAATTTGAATCACCAAAATGTATTTTGATGTTTCAGTTTTGTTGCCAACATTTAGGTTCTACCACATTTTTTACTTGAAAAGCTTTGGACTTAGAGAGTACAAAAATTGGGTTAAGGAACAAATATCTGACGTTATTTCCACTCTAAGCTTTAAGAATTTAACCTTGAAGACCTCATGTTCAGGTCGTCAATGTTAAGTTTTATGTTTTATTTTAAAACATTATGATTTATGATATACATTTTTTTTTTTGGACCAAATGTTCTTTGCTTTGTATGTAACTTCACTTTCTCCTTTTCTGTTGATCCGGTTGATAATAAACAAGTCAAGAACGTTGCTTAGTTTATTTCTCTTCTTTTAATGTCTTTCAATACTAATATCAATTAATTAAACGATCTACGTGACAAGAAATTTAACAGGTTGTGGGACCCAGATAACGTTTTTCTTAATTAATTGTTTTGACGAAGAAAATTTAAAATAAAGAAATATCTGAAAATTCCTTTGTGAAGACTGAAGTGAAGAGAAAACACGTGCTTCTTCATTCTCTGAAAGTCGATATTTTGCTTCTTATTAAAAGGTCAAATTGAAAGACAAAGAAGAAATGGATCTATCAAAAATGCAAATCAAACACCTAGAATGCAAAAGTAATTGGTTGAACTGGAAGTCGAGAGTTTGTATAATACTACGCGGCATTCCTGATATAATGGACGTAGTAAATGGCAAATTAAAAGTTCCAGATGAATTAAACGATGACTCAAATAAAGATGAGATAGCAAAATATCGTATGAAAAAGTTCGTTCATTCAGTAATGCCAGAGATGTTTGGTTAGAACTTCACAGATTGTATGATGAAGTTAATGAAAATACAGCATACAACTTATGCATGAAGTTCTTTAGATATAAAATGGATGAAAGTGATGATGTTGTCACTCATGTTACAAAACTCAAAAATCTTTGGAAAGATTTAAAGGTTGAGTTAGGAAAAGATGAAAACAGTGACTTGTTGCTGATGTTTCAAATAATTGAAACTCTGTCAGAAAAATATTTTTCATTTGCTGCAAACAGGGAGATTGTTGAACAAGACTAAAAGAACAGTTGAAACACTCACAAATCAACTGAGTAGCTATGAGAGATCCTTGGAAGGCAAAACTGAATGTAATAAAGTATTATTTGTCAAAGCAACAACTGAAAAGTCATTATCACTAAACATGAAAGGTCAAAAATAAGATAAATTTGTCAGCAAACCAAACCGACTGATATGTCATTATTGCAAATTGCAAGGTTACATTGTAAGAAATTGTGAAAAATGGCATTCTGATAATTAAAGAAAGTAATTCAACTGATGAAGATGTTCACAACCGTAGTTCAGTTTTATCTGATGAAGAAGATCAATCTGATTGTTGTAATCAAAAGACCAAATGTATGGTTTTACGTGACAGAAATAATATCAAAAAGCCATCTCGTTATGATCCTTTCGTTATGTCTGCATTATGTGAAGTACTTGAACCAGTGAGCTACAAAGATGCCATTCAAAGTGATGAAAAAGATGATTGGTTTAAAGCCATGAACAGTGAAATGCAGTCATTAGAGGAAAATCAAACGTGGGATTTGGTAAATCTTCCAAAAGGTCATAAGGCAATATCATGCAAATGGGTCTACAAGGTAAAACACAATCCAGATGGTTCTGTTGAACGTTTTAAAGCCAGGATAATGGTAAAAGGTTTTTCTCAGAAAAAGGGAATTGACTATGGAAAAACCTATAGTCCTGTGGTCAGATGTTCAACTATAAGAACACTATTAAGTGTTGCTGCAAATGAAAAGATGTCACTCATGCAGTTTGATGTGTCAACAGCATTTCTATACAGCAAACTAGATGAAGATATTTACATGGAGCAACCTGAAGGTTTTAAAGATAATTCAGGAAAAGTCTGTAAACTAAAGCGAAATTTTTATGGACTTAAACAAGCTCCAATATGTTAAAACAAACGCTTTGCTGAATTCTTGAAAAAGAGACATTTCAAACAAAGCGATGCAGATGCTTGTTTGTTCATTAGAATACAGGGAAGAAAGAAACTCATACTTGCACTGTATGTTGATGATGGACTAGTTGCATGAACCGATTAAGAGGAACTAAAAATTTTGAAAAAGAATTGAAGTCAGAGTTCAAGATAACATTTAAACCTGCAACATATTTCCTTGGATCAAAAATCAATCAAGATGAGAAGGGAAATATTAAAGTCAGTCAGTCATCGTACACAAGAATGATTCTTGAAAAGTTTGGGATGAGTCAGTGTAAATCCTGTACAACTCCGATTACAAAATCTGAGGAGTTAGATGGAAAGAAAAACGAACACGAGGAAGTTAAATTTCCTTACAGATCAGCAGTTGGTGCATTGATGTACTTGATGACGGGAACAAGACCAGATATTGCATATGCAATTGGAGTAGCATCCAGGAGTTTGGAGAAACCCAGCAAGTTCAATGTAGCACAAGTCAAGCAAATTTTCAGATATTTGCAAGGCACAGCTGATGTCGGTATTGTTTACAAGTCTGGTCAAAACAATACACTAATAGCCTACAGTGATGCAGATCATGGAGGAGATAAATCTAGTGGAAGATCGACATCAGGTGTAATCTGTATGTTTGGAGGAAGCGTGATCAGTTGGTTTAGCCAACGTCAACACTCAGTTGCGATTTCAACTACCGAAGCAGAAATCGTTGCCGCAAGTGAAGCAGCTCGTGAAGTAATATGGCTCAAATGATTGTTTAACGACATTGTAGATCTAAAAAAAAGCCAAAAATTTTTGTCGACAATGAAGCAGCGATTCGTTCCGCACATAATCCAGAACTTCACAAAAGAACAAAGCATATTCTCATTAGACATTTCTTTGTCAGAGAAAAGGTTGCAGAAGAAAAAGTTTCAGTTGAACGAGTTGCGACAAAACTTCAAGTTGCTGATGCCCTGACAAAACCAATGGTAGGACCAAGACATAAGAATCTTATGTGTGTGATGGGTCTTCAGAGTTAAGTCAAGAACGTTGCTTAGTTTATTTCTTTTTTTTAATGTCTTTCAATATTAAATTATATCAATTAATTAAACGATCTACGTGACAAGAAATTTAACAATGATATATATATATATATATATATATATATATATATATATATATATATATATATATATATATATATATATATGTATGTATTGGTAATAGACCATAATTTTTACTGTATAAAATATTGTAAAAGTTATGTTCTATTACCAACATATACTCGAAGTTCTGCGACCAACCGACGTAATCTAACAATCGAACAAGATCGCGAGCACAGACTGCTCCATCTCTCTCGAGAATTAGAAGTTAAAAGAATTCGGTAGAATTTATAGAATATTGTAAAAATTATGGTCTATTACCATTATTTACTCGAAGTTCTGCGACCAACCGACGTAATCTAACAAGATCGTGATATATATATATATTGTCGGAAATTTTAAAATAATAAATAATAAATTAATGAGGAGGTGGATTTTTAAAAGGGTGACAAGGCCCCACGTTGGGCGCCAATTGTCGGAAATTTTAAAATAATAAATAATAAATTAATGAGGAGGAGGATTTTTAAAAGGGTGACAAGGCCCCACGTTGGGCGCCAATTGTCGGAGATTTTAAATAATAATAAATTAAAATGATAAGAGGAAGCAATCTCCTCCTCTATCTTTCTCAGGGAATTTTTGTATGGTCCGACAATAATTTTTGTGTATATTTTTATCGTGAGTTCGACCAGTCCTGTGTGGCACTGGGCTTTTAAGAATTATATGATTTTACTGAGTAACACACGAACGCGTAAAAATATTCGATAACAATTTTATTAATCGACGGAAGTAAATAAAAGGAATTGAACTAATGAACTCTATAATAATGTAAATGTCAATGAACAAACTGGAATACAGGAATTAGAACTCTTCTTGTCGGGTCTTCAACTTGGAATATGTTTCTTGGCGTTTTAATCGTACAACTTCGACGTGTGTATCCGATGGTGATGTCGATACAACTCCAATAAATAAAAAAATGAATCACAAAAATCGGAGCCTATGGAAATTCCAAGCTGCGTGTGAAACTATACCAATGAGTATAGAATCCAGCAAAGAACCCTAGGTCCACAAATAGCACAAGAAACAAAACAACGAGGCGGATTCGTTTTCACAGAACCCAAGGCCTGTTTTCACTGGGCCTGTCTGTCAGTCGGTCGGCTTTCGCACAACCTTGGCCTGTTTTCACTGGGCCGTCAAGTCTGATCGGCTTTCGCACGACCAAGGGCCTGTTTTCACTGGGCCTGTCAGTCAGTCGGTCGGCTTTCGCACAACCTTGGCCTGTTTTCACTGGGCCGTCAAGTCTGATCGGCTTTCGCACGACCAAGGGCCTGTTTTCACTGGGCCTGTCAGTCAGTCGGTCGGCTTTCGCACAACCTTGGCCTGTTTTCACTGGGCCGTCAAGTCTGATCGGCTTTCGCACGACCAACACAAGACAACAAGAGTCAGAACAACACCGGTAACAAATTGTGTGTCTTCAGTACGCGTGCGAAACTATGCCAATGAGCATAGAGTCTCGTACTGAATCCACTTTTGAGAACTTAAGGCGTTTCTGAAACTATGCCAATGAGCATAGAATCACGCGTTAAGTCTCTTAGATACCAGAACAGGCACTGATTACTCGAAGCTGCCTAACTGGTGAATCCAAGGCTGACTCTTTGAAAACTTAAGACGTTTCTGAAACTATGCCAATGAGCATAGAATCACGCGTTAAGTCTCTTAGGGACCAGAAGAGGCACTGATTATTCGAAGCTGCCTCACTAGTCAACCCAGTTTCTTTAACTGGTGAACCCAGTTGCTCTCTAACTGGTGAACCCAGTTGCTCTTTTAAGTCTTTTCACACCCTTCCTTATCAAAACAAAATTAGATTTTGTTTCGGGTGTTTTAAAACATAAAAATCTACAAGGCATGTCCAATTAATCAGAAACATATTTTGGTTCTTCTAATTTATAATATGGGGCACAGTGAAAACAGGCCAAGGTTGTGCGAAAGCCGACCGACTGACAGACAGGCCCAGTGAAAACAGGCCTTGGGTTCTGTGAAAACGAATCCGCCTCGTTGTTTTGTTTCTTGTGCTATTTGTGGACCTAGGGTTCTTTGCTGGATTCTATACTCATTGGTATAGTTTCACACGCAGCTTGGAATTTCCATAGGCTCCGATTTTTGTGATTCATTTTCTTTTATTTATTGGAGTTGTATCGACATCACCATCGGATACACACGTCGAAGTTGTACGATTAAAACGCCAAGAAACATATTCCAAGTTGAAGACCCAACAAGAAGAGTTCTAATTCCTGTATTCCAGTTTGTTCATTGACATTTACATTCTTATAGAGTTCATTAGTTCAATTCCTTTTATTTACTTCCGTCGATTAATAAAATTGTTATCGAATATTTTTACGCGTTCGTGTGTTACTCAGTAAAATCATATAATTCGAAAAAGCCCAGTGCCACACAGGACTGGTCGAACTCACGATAAAAATATACACAAAAAATTATTGTCGGACCATACAAAAATTCCCTGAGAAAGATAGAGGAGGAGATTGCTTCCTCTTATCATTTTAATTTATTATTATTTAAAATCTCCGACAATTGGCGCCCAACGTGGGGCCTTGTCACCCTTTTAAAAATCCTCCTCCTCATTAATTTATTATTTATTATTTTAAAATTTCCGACAATTGGCGCCCAACGTGGGGCCTTGTCACCCTTTTAAAAATCCTCCTCCTCCTCATTAATTTATTATTTATTATTTTAAAATTTCCGACAATTGGCGCCCAACGTGGGGCCTCGAATAACAATTTTTCAAGTTATCGAGGTTTCCATTTTACTTTTAATTATTACTTCAGTTTTTGAAGTATCGAATTTCGTTTACGATTGATTTACTGAGTAACTCGTTGTAAAATATAACAATTTTTCTTGTTTTTTTTGCATTTTTATTACATTATCGAGTAATTGCACACATTTGATATTTTGATAGTATTAAGATTTGTATTTGAGTTGCACCATGCCAAATCGCAAAACACATCCTAGGCAAAGTGAGATGCCAGATGAGGAAGTAAATGTAAATAATAGAATTTTTAGTAAAACTAAAGAGTGGAGAGTTAGTAGATTTAATGGCTCAGAAGATATAACTGAGTATTTTTGTCAATTTGAAATAACCGCAAAAGTAAATAAGTGGACATCACAAGAAAAAGCACTATCCCTTTTGCATGCACTAGATGGGAAAGCAAGAGGTGTATTTCACGAATTGCCAGATATTGACACAGTCACGTATAACGAGATTAAAGAGCTGTTGTTTAAACGATTTGGACCATCGAACTATTCAGAAACACACGAGTATAGTTTATCGCAGCTTAGATTACAAAAAGATCAGAACATTCGAGATGTGTCCCAGGAAGTTAACAGACTGTCAAGGCT